CCTCCACTCGTTACCTGTATCAATGGCACCTGTTTGAACTTGTTATCAGTATAAAAGACACCTGTCCACAACCTCAAACAGTCACACTCCAAACTCCACTATGGCCAAGACCAAAGAGCTGTCAAAGGAGACCAGAAACAAAATTGTAGACCTGCACCAGGCTGGGAAGACTGAATCTGCAATAGGTAAGCAGCTTGGTTTGAAGAAATCAACTGTGGGAGCAATTATTAGGAAATGGAAGACATACAAGACCACTGATAATCTCCCTCGATCTGGAGCTCCACGCAAGATCTCACCCCGTGGGGTCAAAATGATCACAAGAACGGTGAGCAAAAATCCCAGAACCACACGGGGGGACCTAGTGAATGACCTGCAGAGAGCTGGGACCAAAGTAACAAAGCCTACCATCAGTAACACACTACGCCGCCAGGGACTCAAATCCTGCAGTGCCAGACGTGTCCCCCTGCTTAAGCCAGTACATGTCCAGGCCCGTCTGAAGTTTGCTAGAGTGCATTTGGATGATCCAGAAGAGGATTGGGAGAATGTCATATGGTCAGATGAAACCAAAATAGAACTTTTTGGTAAAAACTAAACTCGTCGTGTTTGGAGGACAAAGAATGCTGAGTTGCATCCAAAGAACACCATACCTACTGTGAAGCATGGGGGTGGAAACATCATGCTTTGGCGGTGTTTTTCTGCAAAGGGACCAGGACAACTGATCCGTGTAAAGGAAAGAATGAATGGGGCCATGTATCGTGAGATTTTGAGTGAAAACCTCCTTCCATCAGCAAGGGCATTGAAGATGGAACGTGGCTGGGTCTTTCAGCATGACAATGATCCCAAACACACCGCCCGGGCAACGAAGGAGTGGCTTCATAAGAAGCATTTCAAGGTCCTGGAGTGGCCTAGCCAGTCTCCAGATCTCAACCCCATAGAAAATCTTTGGAGGGAGTTGAAAGTCTGTGTTGCCCAGCGACAGCCCCAAAACATCACTGCTCTAGAGGAGATCTGCATAGAGGAATGGGCCAAAATACCAGCAACAGTGTGTGAAAACCTTGTGAAGACTTACAGAAAATGTTTGACCTGTGTCATTGCCAACAAAGGGTATATAACAAAGTATTGAGAAACTTTTGTTATTGACCAAATACTTATTTTCCACCATAATTTGCAAATAAATTCATTAAATATCCTACAATGTGATTTTCTGGAATTTTTTTTCTCATTTTGTCTGTCATAGTTGACGTGTACCTATGATGAAAATTACAGGCCTCTCTCATCTTTTTAAGTGGGAGAACTTGCACAATTGGTGGATGACTAAATACTTTTTTTCCCCACTGTATATGGGTTACTTGAAAAAGTAACTAATAATATTACAATAATTGAAGACAGTAACTCGTTATATTAATCTGTTACTAAAAGTAATGCATTACCCCCAACACTGGTCCCAAGTGATTCCGTTGCAATTTGTCTATTTTTCCACATTAAAACTTGGAGATGGAACTCTGTGTTGTGTAAGGTTTTGGTATAACTGGCATCATCATTGCTTAAATGGCAAATGTGAGAAAGTACAGACATGCTACTTTAAATGTACACATTTCTGATATTCTGAGAATATGGCCACCATGTTCTGGGTATCTTTCTATCCGAAGCAACACTACCACCTGGGCCATGTGTCGGCAATGAATTAGAAATGTTACAGATAGAAATGCAATGACGAGCTGATGTGATTCCTTATCAGAGACATGTTTGTTCTACATGGTATATGTTGTGTGAATAACAAAAAGACGATAGAGTTCTCTGAGATGCTCAGCTATCAAGAATTCTACTGATTTCCATCTTCCAATGAGAAAATAATTTTAATTAGATCAGATAGGTGTGTTGTAACTGTTGCCAAATAATGACATTAACATATATTGCAAGAATGTGAGAGTAGGGTAACTACCCTAGCGGGTCTCGAACCCAGGTCACCAGCACCAATCACCCTAACAACTTTCCCAATAAGGGATATCTCTAGGGCTTGTGCTTATTGGGCCAGTATAGTTAGGCCCTGTCCAGAATAAACCCTAACCCCTCCTCCCTGCACTTGTGTAGATCTGAAACAACTATATAGGCGTAAGCAATAGGGTGAATGCACATTGAAGTAAATCTCAGCTCTGTTAAAGTACACTCAAGAAAAACTTTTATTGATCATAATGATTCAGAAGTATTATTAAAACAGATTAATATGGGGCGGCAGGTAGCTTAGTGGTTAAGAGCGTTGTGCAAGTAACCGAAAGGTTGCTGGTTCTAATCCCCGAGCCAACTAGGTGAAAAATCTGTCGATGTGCCCTTGAGCAAGGCACTTAACCCTAATTGCTCCTGTAAGTCGCTCTGGATAAGAGCGTCTGCTAAATGACTAAAATGTAAATGTAAATATGCCCAACAGACAACTATAGAGAAAGCCCTTAAATTGTCAAAATAAGTCAATCAAATCAATGATGAGAGAATAGTCCAAATAACTTCTAACTGACACAGACATGGTGGCATAGCAGGAAGAACCGAATGCCGTGAACCATGAGGTTGTGATTTCAAATCCCAGGTGAGGACATGTTGAATAATAAATACTGTATGAATAAACATACACAATGTAATCATGTATGTCAAAGTGTGTCAAATATGTAAGTTGAAAACATGTATGTTAAAAGCACTGTGTGATTATCCCTAACATTGCCAACATTCAAAAAGAGCTGTGAATGGATCAGTGGTTCACCAATCAGGCCCTTTATGGGCTTGGCAACAGCATTGGGGATGTTTCTTTGGGACCGACAACTTCTTGCAACGTTTCCATGAGTGTCTAGAACATTAATATCTTATATTCTGAGAACATGGCAACCATTTTCTGTGTATGCTTGGTGGAACGTTCATGGTATATTCTCCTAACCCTCAGAAAACTGGACACATGAATGTTCTTGCAATGTCCCATAAAACGCGTCAAGAACATTAATGTTGTATATTCTGAGAACATTGTAACCATGTTCTGTTCAAGTTCAAATTTTACACCAGAACATGCTAAAAAGGTTCTCAGAAGGTTTTTGCTAACATAGATAGAATGTTCCCCTAACTAACGGAAACTCAAACATTACGGGTAACATTACAAAAAGGTTCTCTCTCCCTAGAATTGTTAGCTGGGAGGGCTGTTTATTTTCTCTGCGCTTTAAAAGCCGAGTTCTGGGCAGGTTAACGAATTGTTTGGCTAGTAGTCATGCCAGAGAAAGGGAAATGTCAAACATTCCTAAACGACAGGTGTTTAAATTAATGCAAGAGCTGACAGAACACAGCCAGGTCAGGGAGCTTTTCAGGGCCCAATAGAGAGTTTATTTTCAATCCTCAAGGATTTGGAGGGAATCTATAATACAGTGTCAACAGATCTCAATGGTGAAGGTTCTTCAACCATGCTGACCTAGAAGTGCTGGGATGCCAGTTAGGCAGTTATTTTCAGTAAATCCATAATTACACTTGAATGTAAGTTTGAATCCATGAAATCTGAAATTCCAACATTTCACAATCAACCATGAATAACTTACAGTTGCCCAAAAGGAACTCCCATGTTGTTCCTCAGGACTAAGGTGTTTCTCAACTCCAGGCTACCTTAATATATACATTCCTAACATTACTGCCTCCAACTAGGATTACACTTGACGTGTGTCTGCTGCTGCTCTCCTGGGTGGGACTGGGAGAGGGAGGAAATTACTTTAATTTACAATTCAGTTTTGGGTGGATATGATTGATATACCCGAAATATAAGAGATATAATGACATTAATATTATCACCTTTCACCACAATGGGTGTAAAGAACACCCATCTCCAAAACAAAATATAATTACTTAAATACTATATCATGTTGAATCATGTCAGGGTGTACATGTTCCTGTCTAAAACAGAATGTTATAAAAGTCTAATCATGTTGCACGCCCTCAAGGCACAAGTTACATAGAGGGAGGACTCACACTCCAGCACATATTTATTTGATTAGTTTACACATGATAAGAAATACTTAAATTCACCCCATTCGAAATGATTACATTGTGAAACTAGTTAAACTTATTCCCAAAAGATGAGGCCTGGCATGTGAAAAGGAGTAATTGCTGAATCTTCAAAGGTCAATCAGTGGAACAGGGTGTTGCTTCTCTATACAGAAGACTCTTTTATAAGTGATTTAATTACTTCTAATCTGAGTCAAGAGAAAGGCCAAATATATTCAGACCCTTTAAGTGCAAACCATTAAACTATTTTGCCCTGCAAAATAAGCCTCTGCCATGACCAGGATTAACTATGCATGGGAATTACAGCAAACATAGAATACTGTACAGAGAAGAGGAAGCCATAAAACTGCAGTCTGTGTGGTCTGGTGCCATCACAAAAAACTCCCAGGGAGGGAGAGCGAGAGAGGGAGGGAGCGAGGTAGAGTGGGAGGCTGGTGGGCTTACCCACTGCGAACGACAAATCTTCAGGGAAGAGAGGAAAAAGAGAGGTGGTGGAGCAAACAGAGCCCTTTCTCCCCCACTCGGTGCCAATTTGCCACATTCTTCTATTTACAAGCATCAATTACCACAAAAAAAGTGACTGCCTGTTAAATATCAACAGAAAGCACTCCCTGTGGTGCATCTGATAATGAGACCTCACACAGAGCCTCAGCTCACCGCCCCACCGCTCTGCTTTGCTCAGACTAGCCAGCTCCAGCTAACAGGCTGTAGGCTCCAGGAACCCTCTCTGCCTGCTGGATGAGCGAGCAGCACTGAGCTCTGAGCCGTCACTCCCCATGGGGTCACAGAGAGGTTTACACACCAACAACACAGCGGAATATTAAAACCCTCACAGTAAGACCACTGTGCAGGATGTTCGGATTTCCTTCACTCATCTAGAGAACAAGACAGATCACTTTACAGTACAGTGTATGATACATTTGTTGTAGTTTTGTATCCTGACATGAGCACTCTTCCTGCGAATCAGATGACTGTATCTAGTTGTTGAGCAGGAACGAAGGTAGAGGGGTTGGGTAGGGTGACAGGAGACTCACGTGTTGCGTTAGGAGACTGATGTGGCTGGAGCTGTTGTACTGGCGGGCAGCCTGCTTCTCTGCCAGTTTCTGCAGGGCTGAGACTATGGCCTGCTGGTTGGACTGCGCCTGAGCAGGCAGGGAGTCCAGGTCCTTAAAAACCCCATTTGGATCTGGTCTGGGCCGGCTGGAGGCAGTCCTTCTGATTGCTGAAGCAGAGAGAAACATGTAATTAATGACGGGGTGTAGGGGTCCGCGGAGGTACTGCACGAGTTACGCCGGAAAATAAATATATATATAAAATGAATTACATACATACAGTAGAAAAGAGGAGAATATCTTCTTTCCAATGATGTCAACTTTATTTCTCAACTGCTAATATTGAGCCAATTACATTCATTGGAGTATCTGACATAGGCTTTGAAAAAGCACCAGTGAAAAGTCTGCTGGTAAGCTTTCTTGATTTAGACATACACTACCAGTCAAAAGTTTGGACACACCTACTCATTCAAGGGTTTTTCTTTATTTTTTTATATTTTTTTACATTGTATAATAGTAGTGAAGATATCAAAACTTTGAAATAACACATATGGAATCATGTAGTAACCAAAAAATGTGTTAAACAAATCAAAATATATTTTATATTTGAGATTCTTCAAATAGCCACTCTTTGCCTTGACAGCTTTGCACACTCTTTGCATTCTCTCAACCAGCTTCATGAGGTAGTGACCTGGAATGCATTTCAATTAACAGGTGTGCATTGTTAAAAGTTAATTTGTGGAATTTCTTTCCTTCTTAATGCGTTTGAGCAATCAGTTGTGTTGTGACAAGGTAGGGGGGTATACAGAAGATAGCCCTATTTGGTAAAATACCAAGTCCATATTATGGCAAGAACAGCTCAAATAAACAAAGAAAAACGACAGTCCATCATTACTTTAAGACATGAAGGTCAGTGAATACGGAACATTTCAAAACTTTGAAAGTTTCTTCAAGTGCAGTCGAAAAAACCATCAAGCGCTATGATGAAACTGGCTCTCATGAGGAACGCCACAGGAATGGAAGACCCAGAGTTACCTCTTCTGCAGATGATACATTCATTAGAGTTACCAGCCTCAGAAATTGCACCCCAAATAAATGCTTAACAGAGTTCAAGTAACATACACATCTCAAAATCAACTGTTCAGAGGGGACTGTGTGAATCAGGCCTTCATGGTCGAATTGCTGCAAAGAAACCACACCTGTGGCAGGGCTTGAAAACTATTACAGACTACAAAGGGAAGCACAGGCGCGAGCTGCCCAGTGACACAAGACTTCCAGACGAGCTACTTCTATGCTCGCTTCGAGGCAAGCAACACTGAAGCATGCATGAGAGCACCAGCTGTTCCGGATGACTATGTGATCACGCTCTCCGTAGCCAATGTGAGTAAGACTTTTAAGCAGGTCAACATTCACAAGGCCGCAGGGCCAGACGGATTACCAGGACGTGTACTCCGAGCATGTGCTGACCAACTGGCAAGTGTCTTCACTGACATTTTCAACATGTCCCTGACTGAGTCTGTAATACCAACATGTTTCAAGCAGACCACCATAGTCCCCGTGCCAAAGGACACTAAGATAACCTGCCTAAATGACTACCAACCCTAGACCCATTCCAATTTGCATACCTCCCCAACAGATCCACAGATGATGCAATCTCTATTGCACTCCACACTGCCCTTTCCCACCTGGACAAGAGGAACACCTATGTGAGAATGCTATTCATTGACTACAGCTCAGCATTCAACACCATAGTGCCCTCAAAGCTCATCACTAAGCTAAGGATCTGGGACTAAACACCTCCCTCTGCAACTGGATCCCCGCCCCAGTGGTAAGATAACACTCGCCACACTGATATGGGTGCGTGCGCAGTCCCTCTGTATCCTGTTCACCATGATGCATGCCAGGACGACTCAACACCATCAAAGTTTCCGACGACACAGTGTCGATCACACACGATGAGACAGCTATAGGGAGGACCTGTGTGGTGCAGGATAACAACTTCCCTCACTGACAGACAAGGAGATGATGGGACACAGGAAAAAAAAATGAGCACGCCCATTCTCATCGACGGGGCTGTAGTGGAGCAGGTTGAGAGCTTCAAGTTCCTTGGTGTCCACATCACCAACGAACTATCATGGTCCAAACACACAGAGACAGTCGTGAAGAGGGCACAACAAAGCATATCCCCCCTCAGGAGACTGAAAAGATTTGGCATGGGTCCTCAGATTCTCAAAATGTTATACAGCTGCACCATTGAGAGCATATTGACTGGTTGCATCACCGCTTGGTATGGCAACTGCTCGGCCTCCGACCGCAAGGCACTACAGAGGGTAGTGCGTACGGCCCAGTACATCACTGGGGCCAAGCTTCCTGCCATCCAGGACCTCTATACCAGGCGGTGTCAGAGGAAGGCCCTCAAAATTGTCAAAGACTCCAGCCACCCTAGTCGTAGACTGTTCTCTCTGCTACCGCACGGCAAGCGGTACCGGAGTGCCAAGTCTAGGTCTAAAAGACTTCTCAACAGCTTCTACCCCCAAGCCATAAGACTCCTGAAGAGCTAATCATGGCTACCCAGACTATTTGCACTGCCCCCCCACCCCATCTTTTTACACTGCTGCTACTCTGTTAATTATTTATGCATAGTCACTTTAACTCTACCCACATGTACATACAGTGGGGAAAAAAAGTATTTAGTCAGCCACCAATTGTGCAAGTTCTCCCACTTAAAAAGATGAGAGAGGCCTGTAATTTTCATCATAGGTACACGTCAACTATGACAGACAAAATGAGAAAAAGAAATCCAGAAAATCACATTGTAGGATTTTTTATGAATTTATTTGCAAATTATGGTGGAAAATAAGTATTTGGTCAATAACAAAAGTTTCTCAATACTTTGTTATATACCCTTTGTTGGCAATGACACAGGTCAAACGTTTTCTGTAAGTCTTCACAAGGTTTTCACACACTGTTGCTGGTATTTTGGCCCATTCCTCCATGCAGATCTCCTCTAGAGCAGTGATGTTTTGGGGCTATCGCTGGGCAACACAGACTTTCAACTCCCTCCAAAGATTTTCTATGGGGTTGAGATCTGGAGACTGGTTAGGCCACTCCAGGACCTTGAAATGCTTCTTACGAAGCCACTCCTTCGTTGCCCGGGCGGTGTGTTTGGGATCATTGTCATGCTGAAAGACCCAGCCACGTTTCATCTTCAATGCCCTTGCTGATGGAAGGAGGTTTTCACTCAAAATCTCACGATACATGGCCCCATTCATTCTTTCCTTTACACGGATCAGTCGTCATGGTCCCTTTGCAGAAAAACAGCCCCAAAGCATGATGTTTTCACCCCCATGCTTCACAGTAAGTATGGTGTTCTTTGGATGCAACTCAGCATTCTTTGTCCTCCAAACACGACGAGTTGAGTTTTTACCAAAAAGTTATATTTTCGTTTCATCTGACCATATGACATTCTCCCAATACTCTTCTGGATCATCCAAATGCACTCTAGCAAACTTCAGATGGGCCTGGACATGTACTGGCTTAAGCAGGGGGACACGTCTGGCACAGCAGGATTTGAGTCCCTGGCGGCGTAGTGTGTTACTGATGGTAGGCTTTGTTACTTTGGTCCCAGCTCTCTGCAGGTCATTCACTAGGTCCCCCCGTGTGGTTCTGGGATTTTTGCTCACCGTTCTTGTGATCCTTTTGACCCACGGGGTGAGATCTTGCGTGGAGCCCCAGATCGAGGGAGATTATCAGTGGTCTTGTATGTCTTCCATTTCCTAATAATTGCTCCCACAGTTGATTTCTTCAAACCAAGCTGCTTACCTATTGCAGATTCAGCCTTCCCAGCCTGGTGCAGGTCTACAATTTTGTTTCTGGTGTCCTTTGACAGCTCTTTGGTCTTGGCCATAGTGGAGTTTGGAGTGTGACTGTTTGAGGTTGTGGACAGGTGTCTTTTATACTGATAACAAGTTCAAACAGGTGCCATTAATACAGGTAACGAGTGGAGGACAGAGGAGCCTCTTAAAGAAGAAGTTATAGGTCTGTGAGAGCCAGAAATCTTGCTTGTTGAGGTGCAAATTATTTTCCACCATAAGCAAATAAATTCATTAAATTTCAAGTGATTTCTGGAATTTATTTTCAATGTCTGTCATAGAGTGTACTTGATGAAATTACACCCTCTTTTTAGGGAGAACTTCCAATCTACAATTTTTTTCCCCACGATACCCATAGCGGTGCCCCCACATTGCTCTGACCGGTACCCCCGGTAATATACCGTATTTTATTTACTTTGCTCAACATTTTGTTGTTGTTTATTTATTTTTTTAAAAAATAAATGCATTGTTGGTTAAGGGCTGTAAGTAAGCATTTCACTGTAATGTCTACACCTGTTGTATTCGGCGCATGTGGCCAATAAAATTTGATTTGATACTAAAGGACACGAATAAGAAGAAGAGACCTGCTTGGGCCAAGAAACACGAGCAATGGACATTAGACAAGTGGAAATGTGTCCTTTGGTCTTGTGTCCAAATTGGAGATTTTTGGTTCAAACCGCTGTGTCTTTGTGAGACGCGGTGTGGGTGAACGGATGATCTCTGCATGTTTAGTTCCCACCGTAAAACATGGAGGAGGTGGTGTTATGGTGTGGGGGTGCTTTGCTGGTTACACTGTCTGTGATATATTTACAGCATTCTGCAGCGATACGCCATCCCATCTGGTTTGGGCTTAGTGGGACTATCATTTGTTTTTCAACAGGACAATGACCCAAATAATATGCCATTTAGCAGACGCTTTTATCCAAAGCGACTTACAGTCATGCGTGCATACATGTTTGTGTATGGGTGGTCCCGGGGATCGAACCCACTACCTTGGCGTTACAAGCGCCGTGCTCTACCAGTTGAGCTACAGAGGACCACAACACACCTCCAGGCTGTGTAAGGGCTATTTTACCAACAAGGAGAGTGATGGAGTGCTGCATCAGATGACCTGGCCTCCACAATCCTCTGACCTCAACCCAATTGAGATGGTTTGGGATGAGTCGGACGGCAGAGTGAAGGAAAAGCAGCCAACAAGTGCTCAGCATATGTGGGAACTCCTTCAAGACTGTTGGAAAAGCATTCCAGGTGAAGCTGGTTGAGAGAATGCCAAGAGTGTGCAAAGTGTGGCTATTTGAAGAATCTCAAATATAAAATATATTTTGATTTGTTTAACACTTTTAGTTACTACATGATTCCATATGTGTTATTTCATAGTTTTGATGTCTTCACTATTATTCTACAATGTAAAAAATAGTAAAAAAATAAAATAAAATCAAACTTGAATGAGTAGGTGTGTCCAAACTTTTGACTGGTACTGTACATTTTTGCCAACACATGGCTAACCTTTGCATAACCAGCTACTCTTAGCGAAAATATGTTTGGAGTTACTTTTCTAGCTAATAGGCTATGTTAGAGTTTACACTTCCAATTATAATGTGGGGAGGTCAAAATAATGAAAAACTACCGACCAAATCCATTCATTTTAAAAAGTTGATTACTTCTCCTTGCCATTATCATTCACCTGATAAAGGAATTATTGTTTTTTGCTAACGTATGATGGGGGTCCATGGGTCGCCGGTTTGCCTGGGAGGGGGTCCCTGGGCAAGAAAAGGTTGAAGACCCCTGTCTTAGGCCATAGAAAGACTGGGAGCTGAGAACACACCAAACATCTATCATGGATGTTATCTATCAAGGGTTTACCTTGACCTGCAGAGCTGGGCCTGGGGAGCTTCTGGCTGTGGATGTGGATGGCGCCAGGCATGGAGGACGAGGCTGCAGCCGCGGAGGAGGAGGAGGTGGAGGTAAAGGACTGGACCTGCCTCAGGACCTGGGAGACCGGTGGGGCTGAGACTGTGGTGGCACCAGGGCGGGCAGCCGCCCATATTACCCGAGGGGGCTGGGGGACAAGGCTGGAGGCTGAGGAGAACACAGAGGCCTGGGGCTGTGGAGGGGGCTCTGGCTGGCGAGGGCAGTGGAGGCGAGACTGGGACTGGGCGTAGGATGGGGGCTGAGATGGGGGCGGTGGTGGGGGGCAGTGCAGGGGCAGAGACTGGGGTGGGTTCTGGGGGTGAGAGTAGTGCTGCAGGTGGATGTGGCCACAGTCTAAGGCAGCTGGAAAGCTGGAGGAGTGCTGGGAGGCCTGAACCTCAGGTTGTTTACTACTTCTGAGGGCTGCAGCCGGTTGCTCTTCAGTGGGTTGGTCAGCAGTGGGTTGGACTACACTGGCCTGGTCTGTGCTCTTTCTGACTTCAGACAGTGAGGACTCAGAGGCTGAGGCGCTGGAGCCCTCTTTGGCCACAGGCAAAGCTGTTCAGAGCACAAAATAAGCCAGATCCCTGTTATCATCCAGCTGGCCATTCCATGGCTCTGACACACATGAGGGTTAAATCATTAGAAGCTGACCTGTACTTGACTTTGTATGACTCAGCCTTCTTTTCCTTAATGTGGCTTTTCAAAATCAAAACAGCAAAATTCCCAAATACATTATAAAGGATTTGTCAACAAAGGATTAAATAAAATGTCAAAATAATTGTAGAAATATGTGGAATCTGTGGCACACTGGAATACAAAGGTCCTTACTGACCAGATGGTATTCGTCTGACAATTTCTACTCACTTTTATGGTTCTCTGTGGTAGCTGGCTCTCCTGAACATTGGCTGTTGCTATTGTCAGGTTTAGTGCTCCGACATTTCGTTCCCAAAAAGACACTGGCTGATTTGTTTTTGTGTGTGTAGAATGTCAGGACCTCCTCCAGATCACCTTCACTGTAAGAGAAGAGAGCAGTGTGAACATTCTCCATGATACCTAGAGTAAAACCAGTGTTAAGTAGCAGAAGTAAGTGAAACAGTCAGGAGCATACGTACTATTCAGTAGTAGAGAGACTAGGTGCCAGCTCACTAACCTTGCCTCAGCTATAAACTCCTGAAACACACTGGGGTTGATACAATGTTCTTCATCTTTGATCTTCTCCAGTTTCTTCACCATATGCTCTGTCTCCTATGAGGAAAGAGACCAGTCAGAGACCAAGTACACTGGCCTGTCTGAGCAAGTCAGTATTAACAGTCATGTGTTGCTTCCTCATAAAATGAACACCTTCAACTGAAACAAACATTTCTATTTGGATAAGAACACAAAAGAAAAAGTCAACTAATAATGAAAATAAATGGAGACTCCCTGACTAGTGTAATAACTATAAACAGGTCCTACAACAGTAGTGGACACTAGATGCTGAAGAGTCTCTTGCTGTGTGGCTGGCAGTGGACACCTTGTTGTAGCAGTGGATGAACTCTCCTAGTTGGTGGGACAGGATGCGTCGGCGGTCCTGGAGGGGGAGCTGGCGACTGGGCAGGACCATCCTCATGTCCTGCTGAAGGTTACTGGCCGCACGCTTCAGAAAGCGGATCACCAGCTCCTGGAGATGAGAAGACCTGCTGTCACTGCACTGCGTCATCATTACAACACTCACCTTTACGTTGTGTTATTATTTCATGTATTTCAACAAAAAAACACTTTAAAGAAAAATGTTTGATGGACTTTTCATGATGGACACATGTTCACGTTTATTTTCTCCAGAGGCTTTCCGATAAAACCAATTTTGACGCGGTCACATACTCGTACTCACACCATTTTCCTCTCTACGTGGCCACAAATGCCTCAGCACATTAAAAGACAGTTACGACGTGGCTCCGATGAGTAACAACGAATCAAAGAGAAAATCAAATGCAGATAAACATAACACAAGGGTCCAGGTTTTCTTTTCTATACAATCATTCCCCGGGGGCACTGGATCAGACAGTTGCATTACCATTTGCTCATTGTCCTTCTCTGGCCAGGCTGAGTTAGCGTTAGTCCTGCTCTCTGCGAGTAGCCTCATCTGCACCCGGTGGAGATAGGAGGAGAAGGCCATCCGAGCCTGGACTTTACTGCAGAACAGGGGGAGAGCGAGGCTTGATTTAGGAGGACATGAGAGGCTGAGGAGAGGAAACTAAGGAGGAAGAGAGTAAAATATGGCAGAGACAGGAAGAGGAAAAAACATTTTGTAAAGATAAAAAAATTGCAAAGATAAGCACGGTTAAAAAAGACAAATGGGATGGAGAGAATGAAAGTAAAGAGAGGAATTGCACACACACACACACACACACACACACACACACACACACACACCGCAACACAGATCATATCTCCAATCTTTGTCATTCCCTGACAGTAAATTATGAATAATCTCCACCCGGTCTCCAGACAATTGAAATGGGAACAAAGGTTTACTGCCTTTCAGGCATCTTAGATACATGTGTTACAACAGCAAGCACAAGCACTGACGCATATTCTGTTTGTTATCTTAGGCATTATGCAAGAGACAAAACAAATACAGGTATCATTTTCAGCCAGTGTTGGAGCACAGTGTGACTTGCCCTCTCGGCCAGCACCGAGAGTGAATAATTGTTTTCATGGCCCGAATGAACCTGAAAAGGGTACTGCTAGTACAATGTAGTGGAAAAATGTTTTGGAAAAAGCTGTCAAACACAAACAATGATATACTGTACTATAATTTCCCAGGTCCCTTCACGGTCCTGGCAAGCTCAGAGGAATTTCTACAAACGTAGACTTGTTATTGTAATTCCCCCTCAAATTACAATTTCAGACACTTAAAAAATCTATAGGAGACTGGAGCCTTTGTTGCCGTTTAGACAGAAGTATGTGATATTCATTAATGTAATTGTAAAATCAAAAATAGGTCTAAATATTTTTGCACGGGTATTGCAGAATGAAAAATGGTGTGGAGCCTTTCAAGTCCTTCCAGGTCCTTCCAAATTAAAACAAAGAAAGGACAGTCTGACTCCTACAATTAACAGTCCAATCACAGGCAGTGTCTCTACATTGAATTCAAGGTTGACACACAGGATTTGTTTCCTCAATGTTTTCTCTACGTTGTGAATTAGGTACACATGGAAGAGACTGATCAAAACATGCCGGGGTATGAAAAGAGGCCCAGATTTTCTCCTGAGCTTTTTTGGCCCGTGCTCTGGGAGCCTCATATTTCTCCTTCTGCTGCTGAGAGAAGCAAAGAGAGGGGTGGTGGGATGGATGAAAGGGGAGGGAGGAGAATTCAGAGAGGGCTGCCAACAGGTGCAGAAGCCTGTGGTGTGCACTGACCTGAGGTCCCAGCCCTGCTGGAGGATGTGGAGCAGGTTGACTTTGGGCTTGGTAATGGCGGTGGTGCGTCGGGCCGGTTCTGCTGAGGACATGGCCTCATTGTGGAACCGCTCCAGTGAGGTGGGCACACTGTCAGTTTGCACCACTAACGAACCCAGGGCTTTCTTCTCCTTCTCCTCTTCCTCCTGAACCCTCTCTTCCCCCTCCTCAACATCCTCCTCGTCACTGATCCCAGTAGGGGAGGCCTTGCGACCCCTCGCTTAAGTACAAAGCATTACAGAAAAAAAGTCAAACATCACAATGTCAATTACATCATTGTGTCATTACTCGATCAAATGCAGACACACTTCAACACTTTGCAAAGAGAACGTCTTATGGTAGTTGTTATATAAACTCTCACTGTCATATTTGGCCAAATTCATTCTGGCAGTTGGGAGTTCTTCATCGAAAGTAAAGGAATGAACGCGTCTGATTGTCTCCCCCTTGGCTTGGCCAGACAGGCCGTGGTCTGGGTCTGAGACTAGACTGAAAGTGTTGCTATGCTGTGTCAGCTGGAGGAGGACAGACTCCCTGAGGCCTACCTGCTCTCTTCCTCGCCATGGCGGAGTGCTCTGCCAGGTGGCGCTGCCTCCGCCTCCGCGCCTCCAGCGACAACAGCTTCCTCTCATACTGGATCACATGACACGCGTGGAACACGTCCACCTGCAGCTGCACATTACCATTCAGTTTCCTGATGGGGGACGAGAGGAACGGCTTTAATATGATTCCTTAACCACAGATTCCCATAGAGTATGATAAAACTGAGGGATCAGTTCGATTCGCACAACCTGCATTGCTATATTTATGCTATAGCATTCAAGTGTTGCCTTATTCCCAAAGCCAAATAATACATCAGAATGATTTAAGGCACTGTAATATACAGGTACATTAGACATTGCTAAGACAAGTTTGGCTGAATCAGTCCCTGAGAAGAGAAATGTATCAGATTATTATTTTCCGAGATATTGTGGTACGATATGGAAAGTTGAATGATGGAAGACATGGAAGTGCTCAGATGACATGGATGCTACCCTACAGGACTGTTTTGCTAGCACAGACTGGAATAGGTTCCGGGTTTCATCCAATGGCATTGAGGAGTATACCACCTTAGTCACCGGCTTCGTCAATAAATGCATCGACAACGTCATCCCCACAGTGACCGTACGTACATATCCCAACCAGAAGCCATGGATTAAAGGCAACATCCGCACCGAGCTAAAGGCTAGAGCTGCCGCTTTTAAGGAGCGGGACACTAATCCGGACGCTTATAAGAAATCCCGCTATGCCCTTAGATTAACCATCAAACAGGCAAAGCGTCAATACAGGACTAAGATTGAATCCTACTACACCGGCTCAGACACTCGTCTGATATGGCAGGGCTTGCAAACTATCACGGACTACAAAGGGAAACCCAGCCGAGAGCTGCCCAGTGACGCGAGCCTACCAGACGAGCTAAATGCCTTTTATGCTCGCTTCGAGGCAAGCAAAACTGAAGCATGCATAAGAGCACCAGCTGTTCCGGACGACTGTGTGATCACGCTCTCCGTAGCCGATGTGAGCGAGACCTTTAAACAGGTCAACATTCACAAGGCCATGGGGCCAGATGGATTGCCAGGACGTGTACTCAGAGCATGCGCTGACCAACTGGCAAGTGTCTTCACTGACATTTTCAACCTCTCCCTGACCAAGTCTGTAATACCTACATGTTTCAAGCAGACCACCATAGTCCCTGTGCCCAAGAAAGCGAAGGTAACCTGCCAAAATGACTACCGCCCCGTAGCACTCACGTCGGTAGCCATGAAATGCTTTGAAAGGCTGGTCATGGCTCACATCAACACCATCATCCCGGAAACCCTAGACCCACTCCAATTCGCATACTGCCCCAACAGATCCACAGATGACACAATCTCAAATCGCACTCCACACTGCCATTTCCCACCTGGACAAAAGGAACACCTATGTGAGAATGCTGTTCATTGACTACAGCTCAGCGTTCAACACCATAGTGCCAACAAAGCTCATCACTAAGATAAGGACCCTAGGACTAAACACCTCCCACTGCAACTGGATCCTGGACTTCCTGACGGGCCGCCCCCAGGTGGTAAGGGTAGGCAACAACACATCTGCCACGCTGATCCTCAACACGGGGGCCCCTCAGGGGTGCGTGCTTAGTCCCCTCCTGTACTCCGTTCTCCCACGACTGCATGGCCAGGCACGACTCCAACACCATCATTAGGTTTGCTGACGACACAACAGTGGTAGGCAACAATGAGACAGCCTATAGGGAGAAGATCAGAGACCTGGCAGTGTGGTGCCAGGACAACAACCTCTCCCTCAACGTGAGCAAGACAAAGGAGCTGATCGTGGACCGAACACGCCCCCATTCACATCGACGGGGCTGTAGTAGAGCGGGTTGAGAGCTTCAAGTTCCTTGGTGTCCACATCACTAACAAACTATCATGGTCCAAACACACCAAGATAGTCGTGAAGAGGGCACGACAACACCTTTTCCCCCCTCAGGAGACTGAAAAGATTTGGCATGGGTCCCCAGATCCTCAAAAAGTTTTACAGTTGCACCATCGAGAGCATCCTGACCGGTTGCATCACCGCCTGGTATGGCAACTGCTCGGCATCCGACCATAAGGTGCTACAGAGGGTAGTGCGTACGGCCCAGTACATCACTGGGGCCAAGCTTCCTGCCATCCAGGACCTATAAACTAGGTGGTGTCAGAGGAAGGCCCAAAAAATTGTCAAAGACTCCAGTCACCCAAGTCGTAGACTGTTTTCTCTGCTACCACACGGCAAGCAGTACCGGAGCACCAAGTCTAGGTTCAAAAGGCTCCTTAACAGCTTATACCCCCAAGCCATAAGCCTGCTGAACAATTAATCAAATGGCCACCCGGACTATTTACATTGACACAACCTCCCCCCCCTTTGTTTTTACACTGCTGCTACTCGCTGTTTATTATCCATGCATAGTCACTTTACCCCTACCTACATGTACAAATTACCTTGAATAACCTGTACCCCCGCACATTGACTTGGTACCGGTACCCCCTGTATATAGCCTCGTTATTGCTATTTTATTGTGTTACATTTTATTTTATTTTTTACTTTAGTTTATTTAGTAAATATTTTCTTAACTCTATATCTTGAACTGCATTGTTGGTTAAGGGCTTGTAAGTAAGCATTTCAAGGTAAGGTCTACACCTGTTGTATTCGGCTAATGTGATTTGATTTGATAGTGAGAGGGAAAATGGCGGCAATAACACCCACCGTGATCTTGAGGTCACCACCGCTTTCCCCAATCTGAGGACCAAAGAAGCGACATGGAAAAATCATAAAAGGCCAAAGGAGATGCCAGCTCCCCAGATAATATTGTGCAATAGTGAAATAAAATACTGTACAAAAACATAACGCTCATAAACACAATATTTATCTTAAGTCTGAACCCATGCAACAGAATAAATATGTTGAGTTGTGTAACAAAATTCCTTATAGTTTAGTTTATTCTATCAAATGTTCCCTGCTCTTCCTTCCTCCATAAACTCTCCCCAGCCCCAAACGCTGTTTGAGGACTAGACTACCAAAGCCACACTGCCACATAGACACTGTGCTCGCTCTGGAAAACTTTACAGTCTACTATTACCATACATATCTTATTAGCTGTTCTCCTCACCTATTCATCTGAAGACAAAACAAACATAAAGTCAGGGTCCAACCGTTTCCACAAATTGATGGAGAAGCTGTTCCCTTTCCCAACCACGATGGAAATGCTTACCTTCCATGGAAAAGTCTGTTAGCTAACATGGAGTTCATCGATGTCTTATACTCCAGATAACCACTGAGAAACAGAGACACAGATAATGACAAAATGACAACCATCACCACCACAGGCTGCACTGGGCTTCAGCATCTTCTGTCTAATTTGTGGGGAGATGAATGTGTTACAACAGGGCTATTGTGATACGCAATGTCATAGGCCCCAGTAATTTCAAGACCACTTAGAAACATACTGTGTAAAGAAAGCCACAAAATCCCTAGTATTAACAGGCCCGTAAAGCTAATCAAGCAGCAAATCCCTCATACAGGAATATGGACTGTAAGCACAAAACTGGATTTCCCCCCTAAATAGGGGGTTTAATGCTGTTTCAACTAGAAGTCATCATGGGATTTCAGCCATGTTTGGGGAAAATATACAGATCTCACAAGAGAGCGAGCTGTAAAGTCTATAAATACTCTCTGAGATGTAATGTAAAAGTC